ACTTTCGGAAGTCCCCTCATAAGCACAGTGCCTTCCACAGAGGATGGGCGAGATTCCGAATGGGCTCAGTGTTCAACTAAATTGCCCTCAGGGGCACCCCTGCCCTCTCAGCAAGCCCCTAATTACCTAGGTCTGGGGCACCTTAATCACTGTTTCTGCTCCACCATTCATAATCACCCCATGCCACCAGTCACCTCCCACGCCAGGCAGCCCACGGCCTTCTTGGCCCTCATCATCCATTAGGATTTATTGGCCGTTGCTTAGAGGCCAGGCCTGGAGTCAGTGCTTCCGGTGAGTCTGCAGTACCTAAATGTGGGTGTCCCATGGCACCCCGATGACAGGCCTGACCTCACCGTGTGGGTCTCCCTCCCACACATGCCTCAGAGGCCTGGCCTGGGGCAAGGCAGAAACAACAGAGGCTGGGGTTCATGGCGTGGTATGGCCCTCCTTAGCTAGGGAGCACGGTGGCGGGGCCACCTGCCATCTGCCTCCCGCTCCCTGAGCCTCACCCGGCGCTGGTACCAGGCCTCGGCTTCGGCTTTGCTGCGGCTGGCGATGTCGTCATACTGGGCCTTGATCTCGGCGATGATGCCGTCCACGTCCAGCTCCCTGCTGTTGTCCATCTTCACAATGACCGAGGTCTCCGAAATCTGAGACTGGAGCAGGCAGATCTCCTGGGGAGGTGGGGAGGGCAGGGAGGAGGGGTGAGGGCCTGGAGGACTTGGGGGAGGACTGGGCAGGCGGGGGTGGGGGGGAGTCGGTGGGAACAAAGGGGAGAGGCTGCTATGACCTCCTGGTAACAGATGTGCTCAGGGCCTTTCCTGCGGCTGTCCTCTGTCCTCACAGTGGCCCTATGGGACAGCATAGAGCTGCCCCTGTGGGTTTCCGGGGCTATATGCCTCTCTCTCTAGGGCCAGAACGCCTAGAGGGTTGCGTGTCAGAACTGGCTTGATGTCAGTGAGTTTGGTTCGGTATGGCCCTCAGGCATCCGCTTACTCCTTGTCCCCATCCTCCAGTCACACCGTGTCCTGAGGACCTTCCCAGGGGGACCTAAGAGGTCCACCTCCTGGGGCCTCAGGGCCTGGAAACCTCTGTCCCCGCTGGTTTCCACGCATGCTCAGCGTCTGCCAGTCGGCACCCCACAGGGGCTCGCTCTGACTCCACAGCTGCGAATGAGTTTCGGAGTCTGGACACCCGCCCGTGGGCGGGAACCTGCCCAGCCCGTGGCCCCCTCGGAATGGCCCCGACGGGCGCCCCGGTGAGCAGCCTGGCCCCAGGTACCTCCTCATACAGGCCTTTCAGGAAGTCAGTCTCCTGCAGCAGCGCCTCCACGTTGGTCTCCAGGTCGGCCTTCATCAGGAATGCCGTGTCCACATCCTGTGGCCAAGCAGAGACAGGCTGTTGGCTGGGGCGAGGCCCTGCCTGCCGTCTGGCGTCAGCTTCTCTCCTCAGAAGACCTCTTGCCTTCCGTCAGTCAGTCAGTGTCCCTCACCCTTGCCACCCCTGGCCAGCTGATGGCAGGGTG